TACTCGTATTTAAATGCAACATTTAACATCAATAACTAAATGTTTATACTTAAATTCAACAATTAACATCAATATTTAACTTTTACACTCATAAAATAAATTATGAATTGAATTTTTATTAATTAAATTTGCTAAACCGATATCACATAGCTTAGACATCGTTAATTGTTCATGTTGGTCATACCAATGATGTTCACATTGATTTCATGATTGGTAATGGTTGAAGCATATCGAGCGGATGGACAACCACGTTCTAAACCAAATGAGGTATACCATGAGATTTTTTGTTTTAAGCCTTCCTTGGAATGCGCAGAGGGCTCTATTTTTCCATTTAACCCCCTCCTCTCCTTGAACGTCTTTATATTAGTGAGCCAACCGTTAATTTTCCGTTCAAATTTTTGTTAACCTATGTTGAGGTGGCATGCTAAGTGTTGAGTTAGAATGCATTTCTGACGTGGAAACATATTAATTTTAAAAAATAAAATATAAAAACAGCCTCCAGCCACTCTCTCCTCCGTGAGGAAAAAAACCTAGAAATTTCCACATTGCCGCCGCCTCCTGAAGCGATTCGCTAATAGGAATTTCATCGCCACCGTGAAACCCATCTTCATCGCCTCGTTCAGAGATACCTCGGCCGAGATCTGGTTCCAGGACCTGAAATCGGGTCAGGTCAACACATGATTTGGCCTGACCCGCCCTGGCCTGCCTCATTCTCGACCCGTTATTGTATAAATTACATGTAATTTTGTATAAATATTATAAGATTTTACTTTTATTACATCCTATTCTAGCGTATAATAAAGTTATAAATAAATGAAAATCTCAATTTCACGAATAATTTAACAACACTTATCATGTTATATTTTATTTGTCAAAATTTTAATTCAAAAATCAATTTATCAAGATTTTTTCCATCACAATACATATCCATATGGGTCGACCTGTTCTGATACGCGCCCAAGAATAAAAACGGACATGTACGGGTTGAGTATGAGTATCGATATACCTGCCCAAACTGTCAATTGCCATTCCTATTAAGCTCACGTATTTTGTTTTTGGCTTTGCTAATTTTGGGTTATGGTCTTTTTGCATTGTTTAATGATGTTGCCCCTGTAAATGCCATACATTTTCGAATTCGCCCTAAATCAAAGTATCGAGCCACAAAGAATGAAACCCACATTTTAATTAAATAAAAATAAAAAAAGCATTCAGGCCCAAAAATATTCAGATCCACAAATATAGATGCACGAAAAACAGAAGAAACTTGTTTATGAATTAAAAATAAAATAGTAAAAAGAGTAAAAGACTAAGTGCTCCTTCCTAACTCTGCGCACAGACCATGAAAAATACAATGGGGTGGGTCTTGGAGGAGAACCTCCATATATTATGTGGAGGATATAGCCGTTCTTCATGAGATTTTGAGCATTTCAAATTCCTTGCACTCTCCTTAATTGTAGCTAAGGGTAAATTTGTAAGTTCAACTTAGAACTTAGATATCTTCTTACGTGAAAAAAATGTCATTACCAAGACTGGAACTCAAGTCCTTCAGTTTGATAGTCAATATCCCTAAACAACTAGACTACAACAATGTTTATGTATTTTTTGAATTAAAGAGAGAAAATACTAAAATATCTCAAAATCATAGGACTATCCGCCGCAATAATCAATCATCGAATTAATTAATAACTGTAATTATTTACAAAGTGAATCATCATGATATACCTAGCTTTATGAATAAACTAAGTGAGTTTCTCTAATCACACAATTCTTCACCAAGAATCAAATTGTACATTTTGAGTTTATGTATGTCTTACAACTTTTACATTTATTAGGTTACATGACTTTGTAGTTTGTAGGAATAGAAGGATTGTTTACAAAAGTGTTATGCAAAATTTTATTTCAAAACATAAAATTTGAAATTTGTGATCTAAGGTTTTGTAACGAGACACTTTCAATGCTATAAGTGAATGACCAAAAATCATTGGCTTACAATTTCCCTAATGGTTGACAATTATAAGCATAGAATTGAAAGACTAAATACCATTGACAAATGAGCCAATTATCATTGGCTAAATTTAACAAACAATGATATGTGTATATACATTGGAAATTAGATGATACGGTTGATGGATTGAGAGTTATTGCATCTCCTTAATTAAATAACATTATCTCGACCATAGATAAATCACGTAACTAAACCCCATATCATAATTCTCTAAATCCTAATATAGTGCATATGGTATGTTGTATACATCTTGGCGAATCAGGATCATTGATTATGTTCTTAGTATATGTGATATTAGGGTTTAAGTTCTATAGGTTTAGGGTATATGATTTAATTATTTGAAACTTAAACTCCCTTTTCAAATTTCCTGCAATGAGAGGGAAATTAGGAAGGACATTTTTGTCTTCACAGTCAGACTATGTAGATTTGTTGTATTTTTTTAAATAAAAAATATATACGAAGCTAAAATATGAAATCACAAAACTTTTCAACAATTAGCTAGCCCAATAAATATTCCGTAAGTACTTATTTGGTGTTTTGATACTTCAATTTTGATATTTTTTATTTTAATTATAATTTAATACTTAATTTAAAATTGTATCTATCTTATAAATAGACGATAACCATAAATTTGCAACCAAAATATTGTTCGTCCAAAAATTTCATATTGAATTATAGTATTGAATATGTATAAGTGATATAGAATTCTTAAATTACCATTAATTTCCAGAACTATAGTGAAGCAATCATATAATCATATCTTTGTTCAAACTATAAGGGGCTGGTTCTCTGAACATTTTTGTCCGGTTAAATACTAAGTTTTGAAACTCTTCCTAGGGGTGTAAGTGGGTCGGTTGGTTTGGGTTTTGATATTTTAATCACCTAACTCATATACCACGATTTTGAAAACACTAAATACAAACTCACCCAAAATAATTTAGAATTTTAACTGTTTGTGTCCTCCATACCAAATGAACCAATTTACATGTCGCTTAACTAAGGACGATCTCATTGTCCAATCCAATCATTCTAATGGCAATCCATAAAAGTAACCCATATTCGCGTTTGTTAACACATGTTTCACATTGTCACTACTGCGACCGGTAACTTCGCTGCAACTGATTCGGTATTACTCATCATATGGCCTCCAAACTGATAAATTTATCGGGCCAGCAGTTTTATGAACAAAACTCAAAGTGAAGACAACTGATCGTCTGGTGGAATTTGGCGCTTGTTGGTGTCCATTAATCTAATTACAAGCATAATGATTGCTAAAATTAAGCTTTCACGCAACATACTGGGAGTTGGGAGTGTGTACTTGGAGTAAAAGTTGATATTGGGTTTGGGAAGGGATAAAGGAAAGTGGTGAGAGGAAGAAATTGTGTTTGGATTTGGTAGCAGGTAAAGTTCATGGTTCGGTTTCTTTTCGTAAAATGCTTTGATTTATTCTACTTAGAGGTATAATATCATGGTTATGTGGGATCAAATGTACAAAAAATGAGCTTGGGGGATGGGAATTCCAACTTAGAAGGAGTGGATTAGATTTTGATAAACTCAAGTTCATGATTAACTGAAAGAATATTTAGATTTAGACTTTGTGGTATTGAGATGTTCATAGAGAGTTTAAAACTGATCCAAGGCCATGGATTGATATTGGTTAGTTGATTGTGATTTTGAGGAAGGTGTATAAAAAGTAATGGAAGTAGTTTGCAGCAAGTGAAGGCAGTGAAGAGGCAGTTGGTCAAGGTAGTGATTGAATCAAGGAGGGTATTGAAAGACATAGAAGCAAAATCGGAGCAGTTGAAGAGAGAGAAGTGGTAGATGATCAGGATATTAATGAAAATGGAGAGGATATTGAAGGGCATGGAAGTGAACTAGATCAGGTGAAGGCAGAGAAGGAGGAGAAGAGCATATTGATGGAATTGAAGATGAGTGTTGGTTTTACGAGATTATTAAAACTGCCCCGAGGAAGATGAGTTGGCCAAATACAAGAAAGAGTATTGAGGAGTTGGAGTTCAAGCTGACAAGAAACTCAATTGAAAGAGAAATTCAGGTTCATGTAGAGAAGGTCCATCAAAGTAGCATAAATGGAGTTGCAGAAGGAGGATTAGAAATTGAATTTTGGTTTAAAACATATACGTCGAGAGATTGAAGATGGAGGGGATAAATAGTTGGTTGTACAACGGAGAGTGAAAACTATTGGATCTTTAGGTGTTACGGTTGTTGCAACTACCACAACCTATGTTTATGTTAAAACGAGGAATCATTGATTGATTTACTAAAGTTAAGGTCGATTCACTATTCAAACTACTGGAACGTGTAGATAAGGAGTGTCTAATTTTGTGCCTCATTAATTTGATCGAGTCTATTAGTATATTGGATGTAACTCTAATGTTGTCATTTGCTTTCAAGTTTTGATGGTCTCCTTTTAGTTGAGTTGTTAGCATATGATTTACTTGAATCAACAACTCTTCATTTCTGTTTTTTTTTATAAATCCATTTCTTTTTTATTAATGGCATGTTATTCATAGAGGAGAGCTTTGAACCATTTATGTGGGATTGTGAGGTTTCATTTCAGTTTCAAACTATCTATGGATCGTGTGGGAATTCCAATGAGCTTTTATATTATATATTTCCGGACAATCTATTAATCAATATCATTTTAATGGAGGCTCAATTATCATTATGAAAATGAGATTAATGATACATTTTTATATTTTTATATGAGGATGGTATTTTCCTGAATGTTCGACATATATATTCATTCTTTATGTAGAATCTCGATTGAATGATTTTCAATAAATTTAAACAAATTAATAGACTTAAACATAACATAAAAATAGAAATATTAAATATGAACATTCCGGCCAATAGGCCGGATTATAAGCTAGTAATAGTAAAGAAGTAATTTGCCTCTTCGGCCCAGCCACTCAAAATCCTTAGTTTCTTATTCTTTTAGTTTTAGCCTTCGGCACCAGAAGCCAGCTAAGGCAGAGACGAGAAGGCACTTGAATTTCAACTACATTTTGCAACATAAATTGCCTGTATGAACAGCAGAACTCCAATATCTTAGGTTATCTGAACGAAAATAGCACGAGAGAAGAAAGAAAGCATAGCTAAACTGGTTTAGACAAGCTGTCTTTTATCCCGACTACAATCTCGAACTCGGATGACTTACAGATAATTTATGTCTCGCACGAAAGATTACAGAGCCCAGATGAATTGTGATGAAGTCTTTGGCTAAATAGTTTATGGCTAATTTACATGGACGAAGAAGCAAATCGGGTATAAATAAAAACTCTCCTGGCGCCTTCTTGATCTGGCTAATGCACTTGATTTGCTTCAGGTCTCTTCTGGAAAAGAAATGAGCCCAACAGAACAGCAATTCCGGTTATTGCAATGGTGAAGAAAAGGCGTTTTCGTGAATACCCCTGTGGCTCCCTTCTTGGAGGAACTCCCCCTCTTGGCCCCCTCTCAGTTGGCCTTGGATTCACATCCCTTCACAACAAGTCAACAAGACCGCATTGGAACACAGTCAGGGAGAAGAAAAAAAGCCATAAACTATCGTTAATGTACATTTATTTTTCCAAAGTAAGCATTGTTTTCTTGGGTTGGAATTGAACAAAGCAACTTCCAGTCATGGTTCCCTGCAGTTTGTCGCAGTCCACAAACAAAGTTCCAAGCTCGGCCATTCATTAAGCTAATTTCAATTTCAGTCTTCTCTCTAAATATATGCATACCCATCCATCCATCAGAAGGTTCAACTCGAACTATGACTATTGCCTGCTAGCTGTCCAAGTTTGCCGTTCTGGAGGCAAACTAGATGTCCAATGTAGTGGATTTTTTTTATTTTCACATCTTCCATTCTTAACCAGTCACTATGCTAAGAGCCCCATCACACAGACGAATACATTCATCTCAAATACTAGATATGGTGCATCCAAATAAGACACATTGACGTAATTAAGAAAAAAAGTATACATGTACTTGACTAAGAATGCCTTAAAATCTGCAGAATCACAAGAACCAATGACAAAGAACAGGAAGTATACAAACATCCAAAGAATTGATACAAAATCATGAATGAGAAAGCATGATGGTACCTGGAAGATCCAACGCTGTTATCTGGTACGCCTGTGCACCTAAGTTCATGGTTATACCTCTCTCTAAGCCTTATATATCTACGGCACATGGGGCACAGTTCTGTCCGGTTCCCACAGACCTCCTATCACTCATAAATAACATTAGATATCATTATTGCTAAAACATCGGCACTGAAACTCACATGTGCGTTTGATCAACTGGGGACAAAACAACAGGTTAGTTAGTTCCTACCTGATGCTCAGCCAAGTCAACTGCAGGCAATGGAAACTCACAGAACTCGCACGTCACAATTCTTTGGGGACAGTTTTCCCCTTTATGAACAGCCAAAATGTCCCGTTCCATTGTCTCACTGCAGAGAGAACAGGATACCTGAGCCAAAAACAAATAAGTCAACACATCCTGCTATAGTACATAAACCAAACCAGGATATATAACAAAATATACTTCCAAAATGAGATAAACCTGACGAGAAACCCAATTCTCTAAAGCAAGTCGCCAAGCGGGATTAAAGAATTCACCTTTATATCCTATTTTCACCATAAATGCAAGACTGACTGCCTCACATTCGATATAAACAAAGACTAAAACCACTGATGGCTCTCCAGAGAGAAGATACTATGACCCTGAATACCTCTCTAACCTAAACAGGATCCACAAAAAAGATCAAACGATATAAATTTTCTAGACAAAGTATTCTCTAGACAATAATTTATAACATCTCAAGGAATAGGTAAGGTGTTCCAGCAATAACATGATATGCTCAAGTGGGAGTACTCTCAACCATGTATCCGGGAAAAATATCATCCCCTTTTAGTTAACAAGAATTGCTACTTTCGAAATGTTTCATACCGGTGCATGGGTGTTTGAGTAATGGTCCTCTGAATGTCGTTTGGGGACCATATCCCCACAGATTTTACATTTTTCAAGATTCCGGGCGCAGTGTACCATATGCAGATCAAGGTTAGAGGATGGGATGGCTCTGTCACTGCAAAACAATTAAGAACCATGCAACTTCATCATAACCATCACCACAAAATGTCCACCTGGGCGTGGAACTTGGAAGAACCATACAAAACTGGTAATCATATCAACAGAAAACGATCAAATATTAGATTCAGACAGACCACTTAAGTTCCACAAAAATCACAAAGGCAGGAACACATATATCTGGGAGAAACAGATCAGAAGAGGCAAGCACCATAGCATAAACGGAAAGTAAATAATACCAAACTGACCCAAATTCCGGATATTTGAAACAAAGCTACAAACATCCAACACCCAATTGAGCCGCAGGGAAAAAGATTTTATCTGATTAAACATCCAACCCAGTTGACCTCAGTTGACCCAGGAGAACATGACCGGATAATCGAACAACTCAGAGATACCCAAATCGAAAAGAAAACCTAAGAGCAAATGGGGCGACGAAGAGATTGACGAAATTACCAGTGGCTGCAAACGCTGGTAGACTCCTCAGATGCCATCGCCATATGTATTCGATAAACTGTGCGTGCGCGCGTCGGTGATCGCTGGTTCCCTCGATCGGAAACCTCCAAGCAAACAATCGCGACAAGAACAAATCAGGGAGAGAAATTAGGGAGGCGAAAACGAGCAAATCAGGGAGAGAAATAGCTCAATAAGATCGAGGATTGAAACTTTACCTCCTGTAATCGCCTCAAATCGGGAATAGGGAAGCCGAAGAAGAATTCTCGTTCTCTGATAATAATATTCCCTCTTTATTTTAATTCTGTAATATTATTTTTCCCTTGCGCTTTTCGTTTATTTTGTTCTCCGATCGGGAAATACTACACTAGTAAGTTTCTAAAGTACTAACTAGTAACTACTTCTTGTTGCCACGTTGGGTGTTGTTGGGTTGGGTGAACGAAATTAATAATAGTGAGAGATTCAGATTACTTTTGTGGATCACGTTGGGTTTTGTTGTGTTTCCACATTCACATCAAAGATATTTGGTTGTAGATTCATAGTGGTTTAGTATAGTTACCTAAAACTTAGTAGATCTCGTTAATAATGAATTATTTTATTTAATTATCAAGTATAATCCGTTCAATATATCCAATTAAATAGTTATTCAAGTATATAACTTATTTTTCGTGTAAGTCATAGTTGAAAATTAACCTTTCGTTAGTCAGCAACAATATGCATTTGATAGCGGAAGTTTTTTTTATCTTAATAGAACGAATGCGTAGGATTAAAAGGTCTTTCTAGTTATAGCATGAAGAAATTTTATATATATCTAGTCGAATGTGAAACTTTTAAAATTATGGATTGTAAATTTCATTTTTAATTTTACCTATTCGATACACTAATTTGTGTGTACATAATGTTAATGAGAGTTAAATTTCATATAAATGAGGTCCTAAATTCTTAATCTACTCGTACATAGTGATGCACATGGGTCGGGTGGTCCGAGTTTAGTTATTTTAATCACTCAACTCATACACTACGATTTTTGTATTTACAAAATCCAAACCCACAAAAAAATTAGAGCCTTACTATTTGTTTATAATTGAGTTGGCTTGGGTGGACCATACTTTTAAATACAAACTCAACCCAACACACAAAAAAACAATTATTCTAGATCACAAAATATTATATAACTAATTAAATTTCAAACCAAATAAATTGAGGTTAGAAGTAAATGCATCCATAATATATTACTCTTTTAACATTTGTATACAAGAAAAAAAATTACATGAATCATAGCTTATATTAAATATACGTCTAAATTGAAGTCAAAGAATGCATTAGATTAGGGAGACTACGAGCAGTGGCAGAGCCAGGAAATTGATCAATGGGGTGCTTTTTTCATACCATTAAAAAATCGACTACATAAAACAAAAGTCAACTCTAATAAGTGAACAACTTAATACTCAAGATTTATACAATTATATAACGACTTACACCATTTACAATGAATAACGAAGACATTTTATATTTTGAAACATTGTATAACACATTCCTTGTCCAAACCAACACAAAACTTTGTTTAATATATGCCACCAACGCATTGTTCATCCAGTTTCGAAGATCATTTTTTATATATTTCATGGATAAAAACGCTCTCTCCATATTGATATGACAACAGGTAGAATAAGTGTCAACTTGAGAAGCAAATAAATATATGAATATAATTTCTGCTATTTGTTTCTACTATTTTTTGGCTAACTCATCAACTCATAGTGAGTTTTTGAAGTTGTTGTCAAATGATAAATAGAAAAAATATATATAATTCAACTGACTAAAATTTTCATAAGATTTGAAAGGACTTATTGGGATGATATTTGTAAATTGATGATGTTTGTCATCATTAGATGTTATTGTGTGAGATGTATTTGAAAAAAAGTAATGTTTAGTTCAGTGCGTTCATATCAAAAGTTTTATCATAGAAGTGAAGTGACAAAGTTTATGGGCGGATAACTTTTATGCAGTGAGTTAATGTTAGAAACCGATTTCTTTAGGGTTTTTATATTTATGGTCATAATTATTATTAGGGTCATTCTTATTATGGTTAGTAGTTTTCTAGTAGAATTAGGTTTATTCTTAGGGTTTTCTAGTATTTCCCTATATATATGTACTTTGGGTCATTCGTCATATTAAGCAGAAATCAATAAAACAATTATCTCCCAAAATCCTATTCTGTTCTCTCTCAACCTCGTCTGTCTTTCCTCCTCAAAGGCCTCGGCCGTTCTCCCCAAATCCCCTATTCTTCTCCTAATCCCTAATTTCTATTCTCAAATCCCTAAATCCCCAATTCTATTCTATAAACCCTAAATTCCCAATCTCTAGATCTGATCTAGAAATCCGCACCGCTGGAGCGACTCGCAGGGGTCACGAATCGTGCGACTGGTGTGCTCGGTGACTCCTTCCTATGGGAAGACGACGAAAGGGAAGACGGAGAAGGAGACCGGGGCGACAGCTCTGGTCGAGAGAGCCGTTGAGGCTCCGATCCGACGGGGAGTGAGACAGCAACCAGGTATGTCACGCGTTCGCTGGGAGGAGAGTTCGTCGCTGCGGATGGGGTGGAGAGTGACGGCGGAGGCGAGCGCGCATCCCAACCGCCGTCGGGCTGTCTGTTCGTCGCCAGGAAGGAAGTTGGCGGAGAGCTGCCGAATTAGATCGCCGGTGTCGCAGATCTTGCCAGCGCCGCCGGGCTCCTCAGTTGCTCCATTCGCATCGACCGGGCTCAAAAAAGAGGCGGAGTCTGGGTCGCCGTCTAATCGCTGGGAAAAATCGTCGGCGCCACAAAACGTGCAGGGGTCGCTACGATCATCGACTTCCCTCGTCGGAACGGCCAGCAAGAAGAAGGTGGAGGATGATGTCGGCGTCGATCAACGACGAGAAGTTGGCGTTTCACCAAGCGAGACCGGTTTCCGAAGAAGAAGCAGAGTCAGAGACGCGGCCGGACGCACGCGACTCTCTATGTGGTCTGCTGGCACTGGCAGGGTCGCCGCCGAGAGAAGAGTCGCCGGAGAGAGCGCTGCTGGAGAAGGAAGACGGCGTTGTCTCGGAGCCGGGCCGTTGGGGAAACAGATCGGTGGTGAGGGTCAAACGACGACAACGTCGCGGGCAAAAGAGGAAGTTGGCGGCGGCTTCAATCCTCTCGCCAAGCCTAGGTGGCCAACCCTAGACAACTGTTTGGGCCGCATGGATGACCGGGCCCAAAATCCGAATGGGCCACGAAGCGTGGACCGACCCGAGAAGGAAAGGACGGATCGCAAGTGGGTTCGACCGGGTCCTGGGTCGCACAAAGGCGGTCTGACCGAGTGCCTTCTTTATGGTATTGGGCCGGACCCAGTTGTGGAGATGGAGACTACTGGGCTCAGTCTGGGCCCGACAGATCAATTGAGCAAACAGAGATTTAGAGTGAAATGGGCCGAGCAAGAGATTGGGCCGAAGCTTGAAATGGACCAGATGCCATGGTCCAGTTTTGAGGAAGTGGGGCCGCGTTTGCAGACTTCAATTGGGCTTCAACTGGGTTGTTTAGTTGAATCTCTTTATTTTGGTATGGGCTTAGAAGAGGATAAAGATGGGTTCATGGGCTTAGATGATGGGCTCCAAGAAGAGGAACTCTATGATTCTTACTTTGTAGAGTTTGAGGAGGATAAAGGGTCATTTGGCCATGATTGCGACACGAGCTACGTGGGTAGAGAAGAAGCAATGGGAGTCGAGGTGGCTGGTGTGGGATTCGTTCAAGTTGTGGAGCACGATTGGAAGAAACGGAAGCGCAAGAACTGGATTAGTCAGCTTGCGGATTGCTTGGGAAGGAAGAAAAAGTGGGTCAAAACGGTTAACCTTGAGGACAAGGTTGGTTTGAAGGGGGAGGAGATGTTAGAAACCGATTTCTTTAGGGTTTCTATATTTATGGTCATAATTATTATTAGGGTAATTCTTATTATGGTTAGTAGTCTTCTAGTAGAATTAGGTTTATTCTTAGGGTTTTCTAGTATTTCCCTATATATATGTACTTTGGGTCATTCGTCATATTAAGCAGAAATCAATACAACAATTATCTCCCAAAACCCTACTCTGTTCTCTCTCAACCTCGTCTGTCTTTCCTCCTCGAAGGCCTCGGCCGTTCTCCCCAAATCCCCTATTCTTCTCCTAATCCCTAATTTCTGTTCTCAAATCCCTAAATCCCCAATTCTATTCCATAAACCCTAAATTCCCAATCTCTAGATCTGATCTAGAAACCCGTTAGAAACTTTGTTTCTAACAGTTAACACATACTTTGTATATATTGGCAAGCAATTAAGAATGCATTATTTTGACGCAACGAAAGAGACATACAATGAATAAGAGTGTTTCAAATCTCCCACCAGCCTATCAATTCTTTCTTTCGATAATTTTTTGACCCTCCTCTAAGGCCAAGGGGGCTGCAGACACCCCCCACCTTGATGAGTGGCTCCGCCACTAACTACGAGAGAAAATATGACAAAATCCTAAGTTTCTCACAAATATGTTTTGGATACGAACATTTATGCCAATAGTTGGAACACAGGTTGGGTCGGGTTCTATGAGTTGTATAACCCAAAATCCACACCCTACCCAAAATGAGGCAGGTTGTATGACACGCCAAAACACAACACCAAACTGCGACCAAGTGTAATCGCAGTCCGGGAATGCAGTAACAGGCAAGTTCTATTATCAACCCGGGGTCTAGATCTACTGCTTACTTCCGTGATTGTCTGTTATCTAGCCAACTAAGTCGAGTGATTTGTGTTTAAATTAAAAGCAGTAAGAAAGCAGGAAATTATTCGGTTTTCTCAAGCAGGTAAGAGTCACTCGGGAATGAGTCCCCCTAGCTCCTTAGTTAGGTTCAATTGTAATTTCCCTGGGTTGATTTACTGTTGATTAGACTGCGGAAGATCCGACAGTAGCTTGGAATCTCTTAAGCTGACCAAGCCCTCTCAGTCTAACTACCCGGCAGACGACTAGTCTTCACCGGGATAGAAAGCTGAAGCAATACGCACAGAACTCCACTACTGGAATTGAATTCCAGTACAAAGCAGTAAACTGGCTAACTCTCGTATAACCAATCTCCTACTATCGAATGAAGAGGCTCTAACAACCTAATCAGATTCTATCTATCTCAGGTTGCAGCAGAAATCAAGAAAAGCTAATCAGACTTCAATCAATTCAATAAACATGCATCATTCGATTAAAACCAAACAGTATAATCATCTCAAGTCATTACAATCAAATCCCTAACACCAGGAACTAGGGTTCTTCATACCCAAGTGAGAGAAGGGTTCTACTCCATAGAAAGAGAGAA